AACACCAACTAATGCAACAGCATTAGCTATGTGCCCCGACACACAGATGAAGCATGACTTTGTGAGTTGTAGTATCTACCAACTACCAGTGTGTGTATAAGAGAGAGAGAGAGAGAGGAATAGTACCTTGAAGTTTCCAAGCTTCTCCCATGGCCACTGCGTGAGAGGACCAGGATTGGATGCCATTTTCCTTGGACTGATACTTTGCTTTGCTTGCTAAGGGGTATATACATTTCTTTTTATTCAAGGGTATTTAAAGTTGCATGCATTTAATGTTGAAATGGACAAAATATACCCGGCCAAATCGGAATGGTTCAAAAACCCTAAAACGTAAAGCTCCAATAAATTAGGTCCATTTTGACAAGTTCCCCTTATATTTAATTCTAGAGAAAATTTAGGTAGAAAAAGGCCATTGTTAAAGCATCTGTGAGGAAGATCAAAAAAAAGGAAAAGGAAATGGGAACTTTTCCATTGCTTGGCAAAAACACAGGAAAAGTTGAAAGTGAAACCTACCGAGTCAGTCTTATTAAGTGGCACCTCTCTCTCTCTCTCTACCACCCTCCTATGATCATTCTCTGGTCATATGGATCATATTTCACTCCTCCATATGTTTACCTTAGAATTTTATTTTTTCTTTTTTTTTTCGGTCTTCCTCTTGATCGCAAACGTCCCGGTGAACGGCCTAAACAATTCCAACCACGCCTATTTATAGTGATGTCGATTCTCATGAACCTTGCAAATAGATTAATGCGGCATCTCTAATTCCATTTATATGATAGGGTTTTTAGGAAAGAAAAAAATAAATATTGTAATTTGGACAATAACAAAAAGTAATGAGCGGTTCAAACATTATTTTTTTTTAATTTGAAAGGGGTCTATGGGCTTTCCACGGGCCAAAATGGTTACTTATGATTTTGATAAGGGAGTTGGCCATTAAATCTTGGAGTTCAACTACGATAGAAGACTGGTACCAGCTTAGAAAGTCACAATTATTTGCACTCTTTTCTTTTTATAAAGAGAACCGAATTAGAATGGAGTGGTGGAGATTTTAGTTGTCCTTTAATTACGAGCCTGAGATGGTGAGTAAAGGGGAGGCTTACCTAGTTATTGGTTTGCTGAGGAGGTCAGGGAAAGGCATGCACGAGCTTAGAAAGTCACAATTATTTGCCCTCTTTTTGTTTCTAAAGAAAACGGAAATAGAGGTAGAGCTTTTAGTTGGCTCCACACCAGTGTTAGAAACCACGAACCGGGAATGGAACCCGGCTATGTGCCAGTTTTCATAGCCAGGTTTAAATATCCTGGAACTGTTCTGGGTAACTTGCCCAAACCGGTCAAATCCTGGCTGTTCAAAAATCGGTTAAACAAATCCTAAATAAATATTAAAAAATCCCAAAGGAATATGAAATATATGTTTAAAGTGTAATTAAATAAGAGTCCGATATTGTCGTTGCTGAAGTTGCTGTGCTGCTTCAAATTTTACAAGGATGTGATGATGATTTGGTCTGGGAAGCAGAAAATGATAGAATCTTTAGTGTTAGATCAGCCTATGGCTTGCTTTTTTTTTATGATCGTTTGAGATGGAACAGATATTCCTTAAACAAGCTATGGAGGTGGTCAATTTCTTTAAAAGTAATTTTTTTTTTTGTGGATTTTATTTCAAGTAAAAACACTAACGGTGGACAATTTGGTGAAAAGAGGGAGAACCATAGTTAACATGTGTTTCATATGTAGGGATGATGAAGAAGATGTGAATCATTTATTTTTACCCTGTTTTTTTGCTTATCATATTTGATGTTGTATTTTTCAAACGTTGGGATGGTCTATGGTGTTTCCTAACTCTCATATGGATATCTTGAATAATTGGGATGGTGGATCTCTGTCAAAGGTTGGAAAGATGATTTGGCAAATAGTGATAAAATCAGTGTTGTCGGAGTTGTGGAAGGAGAGAAACTTGAGGATTTTTTTCAATTGGGTGGTTTGATTATTTCGGAGCCTTTAGAATTTTAATTTTTGTGTAATTTTGTAATGTGCACTATTACAAATTAATGAAATACTAGTAACATTTTCAATATATATATATATATATATATATATATATATATATATATATAC